GTTTTTTCAAATAGTTTTATTTAGACAATCCAGACTGATTTTGCGGAATATTTTGCAAATATTTAGCAATTTATACAACTTACACACACACACCATGTATTTTACATAATTATTTATCACACATATATATGAGCAATATCACACTCGTAGCAGTGTGATATGGCTGTATGTCAGCACTGGTGTGAGGCGTGCGTTGGCACCAGGCAGCAGGCCGAGTGCCTTAGTGCCCCAACTAGTGCCGATATACAGCCATATCGCACTGCTACGAGTGTGATATTGCGTTTATACAACAGTTTGACTGCACAATTGTGTATATAAAATCAAAATCAAACATGGAGAGTCCAAAAACCCTTTTGTATGAGGAACTACTTTCTTCCACATTGGATTCAAATCATAAGCTGACAGTTAAACAGTTGAGCAAGCATCTTTTAAACTGTTGATCTGTAGTGTCTGCTTTTTGCTGCCTGTATGTGGGCGGAGTAATACACAAGGGTAAAGAGGCTGTACGGGTGCTGATATTACGGAAATATATCACGGCTATCAGCCAATCAGATTCGAGAACCAGACAGAACTGCTGTATATGTGTGTGTGTGTGTGTGTGTGTGTTTGTGTGTGTGTGTGTGTATATATATATATATATATATATATATATATATATATATATATCAGAATTCTGACTTTCTTGACTTTATTACTCACAATTGTGAGTTTATATCTATAGCAATTCTGAAAAGAAAAAGTTGCTTTGGGCTTCCAATGAAGAATGCAATAAAGGCTGTTTAAAAAAAACTTCGCATCAATTAAATAAATTACATTTTTTAAAATACGAAAGTTAAATAATAATAATAAAAAATGACTATACTGTTTTCATTGCACTAGGCGAAAATATGATTTGTCTCCTACTAATTTCTTAAAATCTTAATTATTTATTTAATTATTTATTTTTACTGGTAATGAAGGTTTCAGGTTTGCCCAGATTTGAAATTTAACATACTACTGTGCTGGTATTAGTGGTTGCCAAATAAAAAAAAAGTTTAAGAATCACTCTACATGAGCGTTTAGCTCTTCTGTAATATCCATTTGAAAGTAACCAGGAGTAGCCTATGTCAAACGGGTTATTGAAAACAGAACTGAAGAAAAATGTGGAGAATGTAAAATGTGAACAGGCTTGTAATTAGTGGAAATCGATTGAGTTTAACTGACCTTAAAGGTCTGACAGACTCTTATTCTGAGAACAAGCATAAACTGGGTGTGACAGCAGAGGAGAGTTGTGTGAACACTGTGTGCTTTGCTTTTTCTGCACTCGAGCTGACGGCAGATAATTATGAATGACACGCTGCTTCACTCAGCACACACGCTCGTGAAATGAAACAAGGAGAAGCACACAAGCTCATGCGAGGCAACTCATTTCGGTGTCTGATGGGATACAGGGAGTGAGAGAATAAAAGTGCCAAAGCATCATTCCCTTTCGAGGCAGAATCCGCACTGGCTTATAATCAAGAGCTCGGTAGTGCGTAAGTGAATGTTGCACAGTGACCTTCTGATGCACAACAAAACAAACAAACCAGCAAAAACAACAACCACAACTACAACACTTAAGCTGCAATACAGCTGAATAGTGGGAATTAATACAGGAAGGGGTTATAAATATTTTAGGTAGACCTCTAAATATTCCTTGTGGACATCCACCCTAATTTACAAAGAGGTTTGTTTGTTTGTTTAATCTATTTTTATTTACTCTATTTTTATTTATTTATTTCTATTTGTTTATGCATTTATTTATGTATTGATTTATTTACTTATTTGTTTGTTTATTTACTTATTTATTGATATTTATGTATTTATTTATTTAATTATTTATTTATGTTTTTATATGTTTATTTACTTTTATTCTTATTTATATTTGTATCTATTTATTTATTTATTATTATTATTTTATATTTTATGTATTTGTTTGTGTATTTATTTATTGTTTTTTTATTTATATTTGTATATATTTATGTATTTATTTATTTGCTTGGTTATTTATTTAGATTTTTATTTATTTGTTTATTTATGTATTTATTTACTTTTTATTTACTTATGTTTTTATGTATTTATCTTTGCATTTATTTATATTTATTTACTTATTTGATTGTTTATTTACTTATTTATTTATATTTTATGTATTCATGTATGCATTTATTTGTTTATTTACTTATTTATTCATATTTTTATCTATTTATTTACATATATTTTTTTATTTACTTATTTATTCATATTTTATAAATTTATTTATCTAGTTATTTATTTACTTATTTTTTTCTGTTAATATATTTATTTATTTACAAATGTATTTATTTTTATTTATGTATATATGTATTTATTTTTAATTACTTATTTACTTATTTATTTCTATTTCTTTTTTATGTACATATTTTTTTTCCTATTTATTTGTTTATTTATGTATTTATTTAATTATTATTAATTAATTATATTATTATTATTATTATTACTAACTTTAATAATATTTTAATCAATAATATTTTTTTTCATTCATTTACTTGTCGGCTTAGTCGCTGTATTAATCCGGGGTCGCCACAGCGGAATGAACCGCCAACTTCTCCAGCAAGTTTTTACGCAACGCATGTCCTTCCAGCCGCAACCCATCTCTGGGAAACATACACACACTCATTCACACACACACTAATACACTACGGACAATTTAGCCTGCCCAATTCACCTGGAAACTGGAGCACCAGGAGGGAAACCCACGCGAACGCAGTGAGAACATGCAAACTCCACACAGAAACGCCAACTGAGCAGAGGCTCGAACCAGCGACCTTCTTGCTGTGAGGCGACAGCACTTCCTACTGCGCCACTGCTTGGCCCTAATATTTTTATTTATTTATTTTACACATAAATATATATTAATATATTTATTTTTTGTAATTATTTATTTATCCATTGATTTTTGTCATTTTAATTCAACGTAATTTATTGATTTCTGTATTAACTCTGTAAATGTTTTGATTATTTTAAACATTGTTTTGTTTATTTGTGTCTTTTAATGTGTGTTTATTTATTTACCTTGAAAAAGCTTATTTTCATTTTTATTTCATCAATAAAATGTATAAGTTAAGTGTACGTGTAAAAATCTACATTTGATAATGATTTTTCTCGAAATATCTCTTGTGTTTGGATAATGCACACTGGTTGCGTTTTCATTAAAAACACCTCACATGCAATGGGCTATTAGTCATAAATATATATGCATGCATTGCAGCTGCAGATTTTATAATTAGTAAAGCTTACTAAGGCAATTATCATTATTAGCTTTGCTTATCCCTGGTGAATAACCTCCCTGTAAACAGCATAATGAGTTAAAAACCACTGTGAACATCTTAGCAACCACACAGAAACACGTTCCCAGAACACTGACGCATCATTGAGATATTGTTTAAAATATGGGTTCATATTTTGTACATCTATAAATCTCAATTTTAAAATATATGATGTTTTCACATTTTATAAGGTTGACAATTCATCTCACATGTTCCAATGTGCCTCTGTTGTTGTGTTTAATTCCGCTTAGCGATTGACAAAAAGTCAGAATCACCTGTGCGAACGTGAAGACTGTAGTAGAAAAAGAAATGACTCAAATGATTCATTCAAATCAGTTCTCGCTTATATAGCAGCCTAATTTTGTGTGTGTGTGTGTGTGTGTGTGTGTGTGTGTGTGTGTGTGTGTGTGTGTGTGTGTGCGTGTGTCTCATATCAGAACACAAATGTGTATAACGACATGAGTGTTACACAGGTATTACAAGGAGGTGGTGAATTATGAGGACATTGCTGATGTCCTCTTTTCTCAAAATCATACTGAATTTTTTTTTTTCTTCAGAAAGTACAACACTTTCCTTTGAGGATAACTTGGTTCAGGGGACATGTTAGGGAAATAAGTAAGTAAGTAAGCAAGCAAGTAATAAGTAAGTAAATAAATAAACAAAATAAATAAATATTTCCCAGTTCTGGGTTGCGGCTGGAAGGGCAGTTGGCAGTTAATTCCGTTGTGGCTGTTGGCAGTTCGTTGGCAGTTCATTCCACTGTGGCAACCCCTGATAAATGAAAGACTAAGCCAAATGAAATAAATAAATAAATAAATATATATATATATATATATATATATATATATATATATATATATATATATATATATATATATATATATATTTCCCATCTCTGGGTTGCGGATGGAAGGGCATCTGCTGCATGAAATAAATGCTGAAATAGTTAGTGGTTAAATACGCTGTGGTGACCCCTGATAAATAAGAAACTAAGCCGAAGGAAAATGAAATAAATAAATAAATAAATACATACTGAAGCTTACACAAGCATTCCATTGGGCTTTTTGTATGATTTGATTCAGAATCGCTTTTCAAACAAAAGTGACAAAAGATTTGACTCAATTGAGCCATTCACATTCATTCGCGGATCAGACATCCTCATCTGCTTACATTTGAAGGTGTTGTTCATTTGCTAAAGTAACCAAAAATAAATAAATAAATAAATATTTCCCAGTTCTGGGTTGTGGCTGTAAAGGCATCTGCGGCATAAAACATATGTTGGAATAGTTGGCGGTTCATTCCGCTGTGGTGAGAGCTGATAAATAAGGGACTAAGCAGAAGGGAAATTAAATAAATAAATAAATAAAAATTCAATCTTACACAAGCATTCTATTGGGTTCTTATGATTTGATTCAGAATCGCTATGACAAAAGTGACAAAAGATTCACATAATTCATTTGCGGATCCGACATTCTCGTCAGCTTACATTTGAAGTGTTCAATCGCAAAAGTAACCAAAAATAAATAAATAAATAAACGCAGGCCACCAAATAACAATACAGAACTCTTAACAGCAACATTTCTCTAATAAAGTGAACGCTAAGCGCTATTTCCCTCATCGCCCGTGGTGCAGAAAGTGTCACTTTGCACTCTTGATCTGTGCCTGTGATGCTGTATTTACACGGCTCGGTACCCGCTACACCCGCTATAGCCAATCCGCGCCGCCGAAGCGTGTGCCCACCTCTCACCTTCATCATCACCATCATCATCATCCTCAGTTCCTCACAGTCAGAGCCAGACACCAGCCGAACAAGACACTCTCAGACAGACCGCACATGAGAAAGAGAGAGACACTAGCCTACTTAAGCCAGAGCTTCAGCGTTATTTCTCTTTCAGAATGGAGTCCTTAACATGATCAACTAGTGGATCCGGACAGCTGTTTCAGGTCCCTGCTTGGATTTTTATCTCTTTTTATCTCATCTTTGAGTTTCAGCACTGCGCCCGGACACTTTCACTTGTTAAGACTGTGCAACCGCGCCGGTTTCAGAGCACACGCACATTGATGGGGATGATCGCAGCATTGCCCGGAAGATGTGTATCCCTGGTCCGCGGCTGAGATCTGTGTCGCCGGCGCTCGTCGTGGGGTCGGATCCCTCGGTTCACGTCCCCGTGTCATTCCCTGTGAACTGAGATGGCTCTTTGCGCTGTGCTGCGACAGACACGCAGACCGCCGCGGCAGGAGAATCGGACACATGTAGTTTTAATCACGACCTATTGCTTTTTTTGTATATCACCGCTGAAACAACTTTGCGCGTTTCCATCTTCGTTGAGCGACTGTCAAACACCCACCGGGTGGAACTGCTCCGGTAAGAGACATGGACGCGCTTTAACTCTCTCCAGCGCTCGTGCACCTTTCATATGCAAGTTTGTCTGTTTTTGTAAAAGTGATACTAATAATAACAGAGCTGCTGCTTGTTTCTGAGTAAACTTGTTATACGGTTTGATTTTGGGTCACCAAGAAAATGGTCTAGTAGTTCTAGTTTGTGGTTTGTATTGAACGCAATGAGATAAGAGAGCGCGCAAAACATGGTCGAGTTCTCCTCACAGGCGTCACACAAAAACAAACATTGTAATGCCACCAGTGTAGTGACTATTTGAATGATTCGTTCAGACTTGGTGATATCACGAGTTAAGGATTTGGCTTAGCACGAGTAAACTTACTAAATTCTGCCTAGCAGGTATTGAATTAAGGTTAGACTGACTCACTCAAATGATTTTGGAAGCCAGTTAAGATTCGTGCAAATCAGTATCATTAACGTTGTAGAAAGGCTACGTAGAGGTTCTTGTAGGTTCTGTTATAAAGTATATATGATAATGTACAATTGAAGTCAGAATTATTAACCCCCTGATTTATTAGCCCCCTGTTTATTATTTCCCAAATCTTTGTTTAACGGAGAGAAGATTTATTCAACACATTTGTAAACATAATAGTTTGAATGTTTTTTTTTTCTAATAACTGACTTATTTTATCTTTGCCATGATGACAGTAAACAATATTTTACTAGATTTCTTCAAGACACTTCTATACAGCTTAAAGTGACATTTAAAGGCTTAACTAGGTTAATTAGGTTAACTAAGCAGGATAGGGGAATTAGTAAGTTAAGTTATTGTATAAGGATGGTTTGTTCTGTAGACTATCGAAAAACATATAGCTTAAAGGGACTAATACTTTTGACCTTACAATGGTTTTTAACAAAAATAAAAATTGCTTTTATTCTAGCTGAAATAAGTAAGATATTCTCCAGAAGAAAAAATATTATCAGGCACACTACGAAAATCTCCATGCTCTATTAAACATCATTTGGGAAAGATTCTTAAAAAATGTAATTAAAATTATATATATTTTAAAATCGAATGGGGTTCAATAACTTTGATTTCAACTATATGTTATAATAATAGAGAATTATAAATCATTTAAACATATAGATTTAAATGATTCTGTAGGAAACTCTGTGATATTAAAGTCCTGAAAATCTGAATTTAGATGTTCTGCTATTATTATCTATTACATTTGAGCACATATTAATGACCAATGCTGTCAAAAAATTGCCCCTCAAAAATTTGTAATAAAAAAATAATAATTACTTGTTGCTAGGTCTGTATTCTACGCATACATACGTACCTGTTGAACACTATATACTTTAACTACATTTAGAATACTGCACATTAATGAGCTAATATGCATCTTTTGATAGGTTGATACTAGAGACAATTTTCAAGGTATACCGCGGTCTGGAAAGTCAAGGTTTTAAAACTGCCAAAAATGTCTGCTATACCATTCTTGTAAGGTATGTGTTAGATTTTGTTCTTTACTTTTTTTAGTTTATAGGAAAACAGTTATTGTTTTTTTAATCCAGACATTTAAAAAGAACATATCTTAGAGCAGTAATCACAATACCCTGAAACCGTGACGTTTTTATCCAAGGTTATACTGTCAGAATCTTATTGATAAGCCTATTGCCTATTGATACTGTAATGCACAAAGGTGTACCATTGAGAATGTTGCCCATCTAGATCTACTAGGTACACACTCCTGAAAATGAAGGTTCATTATTGGCATTGGTGGTTCTATAAAGAACTTTCAGCACCTGCACTCTTAAAAATAAAGGTTGAATTTGAGTTCCAAGAAGAACCGTCATCATACATACTTTTAAAAATAAAGTTTTTTTTTTTTTTGGCATCAATGGTTTTACTAAGAAATTTTAACATTCATAGAAACTTTGTGTGGTATATTGGGTAAATGGTTTAGTGGCCATGATGTCTTTTTGAGCCTTCTTTTTGGACAGGATGTCAGTGCCTCTCTGAGCGGATTTTGCATGTTCTCCTCATGTTTGTGTGGGTTTTATTTGTGTGTCTTGGTTACCCCAAACAGGCCCGTAGGCAGGGGAGGTTTGGGTGTTTCATTTGTCCCATTCATGAGCTCATTTGTCCTTTTTTTGGACTGCTATGCCATCATAAATAGTAAAACTAACCCATCGAAAATTGCTTTAAGACCAAGCGGAATCCTGGTGTGACTTCATCTAATCAGTTTTGTCCAATGCAAAGGTTTATCTTTTAAGAGTCCAAAATCCAGCAGTGCAAGAAAACATCTGACATAAGTGAAGTCATCTTTCGCTACTGTACTGTTTTTAAATAGAGAAAATGTTTGACAAGTAACTTTTATTCAATAAATTTTGGACCTAATTCTTGAAAGAAAAAAAGACCAATAAAAAAGTGTGAAGCACCAAAAGCGGCCAATATTAAAATGAATTTGAACACTATTTTGGCTATTGTTGTTATCCAATAATTTTTAAATGTGCTTTTTTACAAGAAAGGCAAGAAAAAGTGTGAAGCTTTACATTATCAATATTCTTCTTCTTCTTCTTCTTATTATTATTATTATTATTACTATTATTATTATTATGTTTTAATAATTTTTTTATTTTTTTTATTCACATGGCCAAATTCTGAGAAAAGTTGAATGTTATTTGCCTAAAAAATAATACAAGGCTACAGTTTTTGATTTAAAACTTAACACTGTAATACATTTGTATTTTAAAAATAAACATTTTTATATTTCTTTATTCTAAATATTTAGGAAAAATTCTTGGTATATCAAAAGTGTGGTTATAATGGCCATCTGACGAGCTAATCCAGCTTAAAATAGTGCTTAAAATTTTCATTCATTCATTTTCTTGCCGGCTTAGTCCTTTTATTAATCCGGGGTCGCCACAGCGGAATGAACCACCAACTTATCCAGCAAGTTTTTACACAGCGGATGCCCTTCCAGCCGCAACCCATCTCTGGGAAACATCCACACACACACTCATACACTACGGACAATTTAGCCTATCCAATTCACTTGTACCGCATGTCTTTGGACTGTGGGGGAAACCGGAGCACCCGGAGGAAACCCACGCGAAGGCTGGGAGAACATGCAAACTCCACATAGAAACGCCAACTGAGCCGAGGCTCGAACCAGCGACCCAGCAACCTTCTTGCTGTGAGGCGACAGCACTACCTACTGCGCCACTGCCCAGTGCTTAAAATGTCACCTAAATTCAGAATCTCATTAAATCTCATAAATAGAAAATGAAGAGAATAACTGCAAAAGGGTCCAAAAAGAACCAAAAATCAAAACACTACAGTATACTGTACAGTTAGTCAGAATTATTAGCCCCCCTTTTAAATATTTCCCAAATGATGTTTAACAGAGCAAAGAAATTTTCACAGTATGTCTGATAATATTTTGTTTTCTAAAGAAAGTCTTATTTTCTTTATTTTGGCTAGAATAAAAACAGTTCTAAATTTTTAAAAACCATTTTAATGTCAATACTATTAGCCCCGTTAAGCTATATATTTTTCCGTTAGTCTACAAAACAAACCATCGTTTTACAATAACTTGCCTAATTACCCTTTAAATGTGAAGCCTTTAAATGTCACTTTAAGTCATCATGGCAAAGATAAAATAAATCAGTTATTAGAAATGAGTTATTAAAACTATTATATTTAGAAATGTGTTCAAAAAAATCTTATCTTTGTTAAACAGAAATTGGGGAAAAAAAATAAACAGGGGGGCTAATAATTTAGGAGGGCTTATAATTCTGATTGCAACTGTGGGTGAATTAGACAAAGCCAAGAGTGTATGGATGATTCCCAGCACCAGAGGTTGTACAAGTTTGTGCGTTCTGGTTTGTGGCAGGAAGGGCATCTGCTGGTAAAATGTGCCAAAGTTATGAGAGGGGTCTGGATGCAGACCTGGTGCAGTGCAATCTGAGCTGCATCCAATGCTTTTTAATAGGCTCGCCTAACCCTACCCCTCACAGTGACGTCACTCGTTACATTTGTGCATTGCGTCTGACACTGTATCGCTGAGTGACGCAATCTCAGCTTGCATCATAAAGGCTGCATCCAGATACTATATTGGCTGTTTACTCCACTGTGGCGACCCCTGATAGAGAAGGGAATATACTGAAGGGAAGTGACTGAAAACCTTCACATGCTACAAAAATAAATTTGATTAAATAATAAAAGTTCTTTTAGAGAACTGTTCAATGAAAGGTAATTTGTGGAACCAAAAATGACATCACTTCAAAATAAAATAAAAAGTGATGAATTTTCTGCACAAATATTCCATTAAAGTACAAAAAGGTTTATAAATATGATTTATTTATTTATTAAATAGTCTTCACATTGGATTCCAAAAATAGATAAAGGTATACGCCAAATAAAAGGTTTATACTAGAAAGATTTAATGCTTTCGTTTCAACAATTAATGAAAAGATTTATATCCCCAGAAACATGTTTAAATATCTACAGGTAAGAAGTTTTATACATTCAGAAATCAAACACATTCAAAAATATCATTGTCTGTCATAGAAGATCACACTTTAAACATTTAAGAGATAGGGGTAATCTATCAATGTTTTATAATATACTCTTAAAAGGATTCAAAGATAACTCCTTATTCTACTTATCAGCAAATGATCTTCAAGAAGACATATCTAAAGAAGCATGGAGAGATTCTTGTTTATTTGCTCAAAATAATAGCATTAACACAAGTTGTAAATTACTTTAATATAAATGGCTCCTATGAACTTACTTTACACCAGCTAAACTGCATAGATTTAACTCAAATATTCCTGATAGTTGTACAAAATGCAATGAAGAATCACTGCCTTTATCATTGTGTATGGGAGTGCATTGAAAGCCAAAATTTTTGGAAAGAGATTTGTATCATGATTGGTGAATTAAATGAAGATGATGTACATTTGGTTCCCAAATTATTACTTCATATATACCCTGTAAACCTGGATCTGAACACAAG